CAGAACCAGAACCTTCCTGAACTGGAGCCGACAGAAGAACCCGGACTCCTGACTAAACGCCCGCAGTGTTTTCCACAGGTTTTTAGGAGACTGAGGTGGGAGAGTCTCTGACCCTCGGGGGTTTTGCACACTTTTTAAGCGTTTAAGTATCTCACTTAAATTGGGCCCTTGATTTTAAGTTATTACATCATGTTCTACTCACTCATAATAGTTTATCTAGATATCCAAGTGACGTCTTCCTATGGGCAACGACTTGAAGGCGCAAACTAAACTGTTCATAGTGTATTATTTATGGTACGCCAGCATTCAGAGCATGTATGAGAATCACTGTCCTCCAGACATCTGCGGTTATATTTTTTAAACAAAGCAGTGTGTGTATGACATCATCCGCGCGTGCCAGCTACCATTCATTCCTCCTATCCGCTGAACTGCTGCTAGTTTTCCTCGCATGCCTGGAAGATGTCTAGTGAGGTTTAAAATATCGGCATATCGGATATCGGCCAAAATCCCAATATCGTGCATCCCTTACCACAGATGATCTCGCTCTCCAAATGGAATTGAACGATTCAGATTAGCTAGAATGAATAGAAGAGGTAGAGCGTAGCCGCCTGTGGCCCGGGCCGCCTGTCACAACTCCAGTCCGGTGTGCGGATGACGTCATACACACACCGCTTTGTTTTAAGAAAAAATATAACTGCGGATGTCTGGGGGACAGTGATTGACCTACATGTTTTGAATGCTGGCGTACCATAAATAAATTCTGAACAGTTTAGTTTGTGCCTTCAAGTTGTTGCCCATAGGAAGACGTTACTTGTATATAACCTAACGGAATATATTCAGAACTGCTCCAAATGACACAAAACTATTATGAGTGAGTAGAACATGACGTAATAAGATAAAATCAAGGGCCCAATGTAAAAAAACAAACAAACAAACAAAAAAAAGTGTTTCCCTTAAGTGCATTTTTGAGGCCACTTTTTTTTTTTACTTTTTCCCTTTTGGTCCCCTAAGGAGCCTAGAAATCATTATCTTAGAGAGGAAAACACAATGGACAAGTTGATTAAGTGACACCTGCTGCTGGAGGACAAGATCTGGAACGATACATGCTTTCACGTAAGAGTCTCCAAAAGCCTCCAGCGACACCAGAAAAGTCGCTAGATTTTTTGT